AAAAAGAGAACAATTTCCCACGAGATTTACCCCTCTTAAATATTTTTTACCTTATTAGTGTTCACTTTGAACTTTTCTCTTAAACTCACATTTTTGCCATTATAAATTGGTTCATGTTCGCAAAATGTATATAATTTTGGTTGTCATCAAAATTAGCACAGATACCTATTTGACAAAAAAACTGGCTGAGATGCTACTCTAAGATACCCTTGTTTGAGTTGGTCTGAACTACTTTCTATGTATTTTAAATTTATGGACACACCCTGAGCTAAACCACATCAAATCATGTCCCATGTGTAAATTATTAATTTAGAATATGATTAATATAAGCCATCAAACACATTTCCAGATATCCATTTTTCTACTCAAATTTATGTTTTAAACAAGTCGATTTGAGCTGATACATGCTCCATTTGTCAACTAAATGAGCTCGAATCAAACCGACAAGTTACTTATTTCATTTAATACTTTTGCTCATAACACTACAATTTAATTATTTTAAGAGTAATCCCCAAATCTTTAAGTTTCAAAATTATAAAAAGACTCAAAATATTTAAGTCTGCCTAATTTGGTGCAAAGATAACTGATTTATGACGTCAAAAGTTAGTTGGTACAGTGAGTAAAAGATGATGATACAGATCGGAATGGAGAGTCGCATCACCTGAAACTCGTACTCTTTCACGCCCTACGCATCACTGAAGCGCGACTTTAAAACGTAGGACCTACGCTTTACCCATTTGTGGTGTGTCCTCGAGAATCTCTTGCATTCTTCAACGGGAAAGCTTTTTCTTGGACCGAGTCAACCCACATTAATTATAATAATGAAAATTAATTTTCCTGTTATATAATTAACTTGCGCTGGGCTAAAATTAAATTAATCCATTTGTGCGGATTGTGCTATAAAATTACGCCAACTTTTTTCTGGCAATTTTTTTTTTCCCCTTTTGACTCATTTTTCTGGCAAATTTAACTTCATTGCTATGTATCAGCTCNATTGTTTGGACTGATAGTTAAATAATTATATAATTATACATTTTTAGTAGATATGCATATTAACAAACAAAAATGTCAAAATCTGAAAAAACAATATAAACAAAAAAGTAAGATTTTTATAATATAATTGTTCATTTTTATTCTAAATATCTTCATAATTTAAACCAAAATGTTACTCAGAAATTCACATAAACTACAGTATGATTCTTTATAAATATAAGTATGCATTTTCATTAAATATATATGATTGATCAAATCAACCCATTAACGATTATCTTGCTTATACAAGAATTAGTGATTAAAATGTTCACTACGTGCATACCATTACGTACTTGTTTTTTGTAATTTATTAAGGTGATTTTGAATTGCGATGTCTTTCTCACCATGCGTACGTCCTTTTTTTTTAGTACATTTATATTCTTCCAAGCTGAGATCTAAAACGAGCTCGGTTTTAGTAAACCAAACTCTGAACCGATCGGATGTGGTTGGATATATAAATATTAATGAATGACAAAACAATATATTGCTGTTGATGATGAAAAAGAGTGCGTATCTTCCAACTGGGAGCTGTAGTGTAATAGTGGAATTACCATTGGATTCTCACAGCAAATCTTGTATCTGAACACTAGAAGTGGCTCAACTTAAATTTTTGTTAGGTTGTTTCCTTTAGCAACTGTTGAAAATGTCGAATTTTTCAGTACGTACCATATTGCAGAAGGGCCCACATATAACATTTCTCATGCATGCCTGCCTAAATTGTGGGGGCCTGCTTGACCTAATCCAGTGTGAATAGAGACTCAAAAAGTTTTGAATTTGATCAACAATTCAGATCAACCGTTTTTGTATAACAATACCAGTTTTTTGGTATCATGTAAATTACGGAAGAGTGGATGGGCACTATCTCTACATGCTTTTTCACCTTTGGTTTGCATACACTCACACACACACACCTATGTGGGTGTGGGTGAAGGTGAAATCAAAGGTAAAAAAGTATGTGGGGGCACAACATCGAACTTATCGTAAATTACTTATGAGACATTCATATATTTTAATACTTTTTTTGTTTATGTGAAGATTATAATTATTTAAAAAATGCAAATTATTTATAATTTAAATATTTAAAAATGTTATTTAATAATAACGTAACAAATAATAGCCCCAATATCCTCTAATAAAAAAAATTGTTCCCAAATAAAGTCTTATATTTTTGTGTTAATACTACTAAATAGCCATGTTAGTTTATAATGATCACCTTTTTTAAAAAGACACATGTAAAAATACAAATTTATTCCCAACATTAATTTTTCAATTCATTTTTTTTTTCTTTCCACATTTTTTTTTTCTACAGTTTTCTTTTCCCCCTAACTCAATTTTCAATTTATCGTTCTCTTGGTACGGGATACCATACCTCAGGGAATAAACCGGTCGACTAGGTCGAGCAAACCGTCTGATCAAGCAGAACCACGTCAGGGTCATTGGTGGTCGAACATCACTAGTACAAAACTTAGAGCCTTCGATATGGAAGACAACATAAGGGGTACAAGGCAACAACGACAAGTCGAGCTAGGGCGGCCTGATAGAAACTCGACCCGTATGTGCGGTTGGTCGTATGATCGACCAGAAAGGACAACATTTGATCCAGGGCAGTCAAAATTCTATTTCAACAGATATCAAGCTTGTCGCCTAATAGTATGAAAGATTATCTAAGAGATAAAGAATGAATCTTACTACAATTAGTGCGGCAAATGGGCAAGGCAACGTGACACTACTTGATTAGTCAACGCTCTGTAACCGCCTTTGACAATAGAAGCAACGACGGATGTACTACCAGACAGCTTGGGTAGTCAGCTCACCCAATTCGGGCAGGCTTCTAGCAACAGGTAACCCACCCCCATAAATAGGGGTGAGATGTGCGATTTCAACCATTATGTTGACATATATTCTACATATTGCATTTCTTCTCCTACATATACTCATTTAACCAACGCAGGCTTTTAACTGGAAAAATCCTCCGGTGTGAGAGTTTTTGCAGGTTCGCAGGCGATCTACTGGCGAGGACGTTCCAGATCAGGATGATTCTACTCGGTCCAGTGTCCTTTGCATACCATCCACCAATTTTTTCTCCCTAATTTTTCACGCTCTCTTCGGCTGCGTTCCACTACAATTTTTCTCTCCTCTTCGGCGACCACTACTCCTCTCCTCTCCGGCAACTCACGCACCTGCTCTGCTTCTCACTCGACTCACCCACCCGCTATGCTTCTCGGGGTAATCCATCATTTTCGCGGGGCTTGAATGTGCAAGGCATGACAATGCAACACTCGCGCGGGCAAAAGGGGATTCGCGGGCGAGTTCGCTGGCGTCGCAAGTGTGATGGCTGGATGCAAGAACTCGCGAACTGGGCGAAAATGTTCGCAGAAAAGGACTCGCGGGCGAGACCTAAATCTTGGCAGATGTGCGGGTCTCAAGGCGCGAGCGGGTCGCGTGATACACGTCACTCGCGACCTGGGAGAAAGTTTTCGCGGGCGGGAGCTGGTCTAGCCAGTGGACGTGAGCTGGCCTCGCTGCAACATGCACGGTCTCTCGACAGCGAGACCTAGGTCTTCTCGGCAAAGCGAGCAACGAGACATAGGTCTTCAACAACAACTCGTTTTTCATCGGAATATGACAGAGTTTTCTCGGGCAACTATCTAGAATGCAATTTTTCTACAAAATAAAGTATAAAAAGATAAATAAAAAACTCAAGACATTAAAATGACACGAAAACACAAAAACAAGCAAAAACGCCTAAATAGACTGGGAAAAACTTAAACAAACTAAAACAAATGCATACACATGAATGTCAATAAGGGTAGCAATGTGTCAGGTTGGGTCTGGTTGTTTGCAGACCCATGTTTGGCCCGCGGCCTTCGCTTGCCTCCCCACCCCAACTTGGCCCACACTGGGTTGGGATGGGCTGATCTACCCTTTGTTATTTAGTTTTATTTGAAAAAGTTATAACTATTTTATACTTGTATATAATATTATAATTTATAAAGGTATTAAAATTTATAAACAAAATTATGTAATATTATAAATATATACTTATATGGGCATACCAGATCGAGTCAGGTCATGGAGGGGAGGAGTTTGGTATTCGGATTCATCCCGTTTATTAGACTCGTTTATAACACGCGCCCGATCCGCCCACCTGGTTTCGAGCCAATTGTCATCCTAATGTATGTGTGTGAGAGAGACTCACTCCATTTGTGTTGAGGAGAATTTGTTAGTCCAAATGGGTTATTTTCACACGACATTAAGGCCCACTTTTTGTTACACGTATATGGATTTTTAATCAATCTTACACATTGCTCCTTATATAATCCCCCGTGCTTGATGATTGATCGAAAAAGTAAAAACAAGATTCCAAAATAGTAATTTTAGCTTTCATCGAAATCAAGATTTTTCCTAAAAGCAGAAAAACCAACACACATTATTTTCTGTGTGAGATGTCATTTAATCCATCAAGGTAAAAAAATCCAGCGCCTCAGAAAAAAGAAAGCACTGTTAACTCGTCCTTTTCCCTTACCGCACTAGCATTTTAACAGTGCCATTCAAATACTCAAAACATCTCTCCATATTTTCACCATTTCTTGAAAAAACAATTTTACTTTTCTTTTCCCATTTTATGTCTAGATATATTTTGCAAACTAAAAATTTTTTATGATGGCTCT